GAGATTCCCCTGCGGGGTTCCTTTCTTGGTGGTCTGTACTCCAGCTTGTCGATGGGAGAGCCAGCGTCTCCCTCTGCCTGGGAACGCCGGCCGGCTTCTCTTCCTCCCAGTACTTCCTTGCGGGAGGTCGCGTGGCCGCTTCTTGTCTTCTGGGCTCCTAGCAACCTGCTGCCCTGGACGGAAAGCTCCAGCCGTCCTGCAGCAGTGGTCCCCAGCCGCCCTGTCCTCTGCTCCGACCGACCTGCTCCACCACGTCTCCCCGTGCACTACATCTCCAGCAGGCACCCACTCACAGGTAGGGCTTAACGGGCACCTCTACCTTCATTGCAGGGCTCAATGAGGGACAGGTGACTGCCTTACGGAGAGCGCTTACATCGTGCTCTCCCTCACCGCCATGACCAGGCTCCTCCCTAAAAAGGCCTTGTTTGTAACCCTGGTTGAGTAGATGGCAACGCGTTTCTGTTTGGTTCATAGTGGTCTGAAAAGTCACAGCCTACCCTAGCAATTTGCCTCCACATCCTACTCTATTAGATGACCTTTTCTGAATGCAATCATGTATTTTTCCTTGAATCTTGATGTGCTTTGCGTATTTCAGATCTACACAGTATTCCAGTGTGAAAATTTCCCTCCGTGCAAGACATGCCTGTAACAAAGACTGGTCACTGCTACGGTGTCCTTGTGCAGGGTGACTGGTCTTGTATCTACTTTCGCCTGTGCTTTTCTGCAAGTAGGCAGTACTGGGTGGACCTGCTGGGCCTCTCCCACAGCTCTGTTTTCTGAACAAGTACAGCACAGTGATGGCAACACTACTTTTACAAGGTAGTACCTAGGTTTGCAAGAACATTTGCAAACAAAGTAGATATATACAGTTTTTTTTTTTCCCCTTTGTGCCTTGCAAGGAATATAGTATTTCTCTAGACAAAAATTGATAGTCTTCTTTGCAGTGTTCCTACATTCGTTGACCTAATCCAGGTTTTTCATAGCCTCACTCGACTAGTAAAGCTCTTTGGATGCAAGACTCAAGAGTGAAGGATTAAGCTGCAAAAGCAGCCATCACCTTGTGCTTGTTTTTCTTAGCTGGCTGTACAGTGAAGGGGATCTAATAGCTGTATAGCCACATATCACTTTCACAGTGCAGGTGGCATGTGTTAACCCTTTGCAATAGCAATAAAGTTAGTTCTAAGTGGTTCTAAAGGCAGAAGATTTTTTACCTTAACGCATTCTCTGCATTAAGGTAAAAACCTTCTATATGGAACTTCCAAGTGGAGGACTGGGGATCGTTCTCCTGTGTGAGTATTAGAGGGTAAACCAACGGATACGTGAAGTATTGCTGCTCTCTCAAGCAACTGGGCTGGTCCACATGAGTCCTCATGCACATGAGATGTTTTTACAGTTGCTTTTTTGGCTTTTGATGGGTTTTTTTTTTTCTACAGCCAGTAAACTACCCAGCATGTTATCCTATGTGTCTATGCACACAGACTCTAATCAATGTTTTTTGGCAGGGACATTTTTTGGCTGGGAAAAAAACCCCAGGACTAGTGGGTTTCTAGAGGAGTTTTTGTAGCTGTTAAAACTCTCTAATCCTTAAAAATGCGGTAAATCGCAGCAAACCAGCTTTTTTTAGAATTTTTTTTTTGGTCAAAATAAACTCTAAAGAAACCGCAGCAAAACGGTAATACAAAAATGCTATAAACTGCTGAAAACCTCATGTTTGTAACGTGACTTTACACAGCTAACGATACCAGCATTATTAAAATGCCCCGTGTGCATGGAGACTAACTGTAAAAAGACAGAGCGCACCAGCTTAGTGCATTATCTCAAAGAACGTTTATTAAAATGGCTCTGAGGAAGAGGGTTACCCTCGAAATGCGTAAACCATTCTTCGTTTCCTGGACGGCACCTGTCTGGCATTTGAAGGTTTACTGGGTCTCATTATTCATTGTACCAAAAGGCTGCAACTTTTTTACTTTTACTTACTGTTTGAGTATATTTTTATCATTTTATATCATATTTCAATAAACTTTCATTGGGATAATGCACTAGGCCGGTGCGCTCTGTTTCTTTTTACAAATGCCAATGGGACTCAGGGTGTCCACGGTTTATGTACATTACAATCACAGCACACACATCGGGTATTGCTGAGAATGTCGAAGAGTTAGAAGAGAGAGCAGTAATTTTATCAAAACTCCGTTAACTTTAAACTTTTGAGCTGTCGAGACTTTTAAAGCATTATCTATGGAAAATTTTTTAGTATCCTTTCTTTTTCACAATATCGTGTGCTCACATAATTTTACGACTTGGCATGTTTGGTATTTGAGGAAACCCCATCTTTAAGCTTCTGCAAGCAGATTGTTCCAAATAGTATCTGTTGGCTTTCACAACAGAGTCTACCTCTGACCTCACAGGACCTTTATTTCTCTAATTGTTGGTCTGACTTTCTTTTCCTGTTTTAAGTAGTTGTTGCACTTGTTTGCTGCTTACGTAGAAACAGTAGAGTGAGCTTTGTCCTAAGACAGGTAGGACTAGCAGGATCATAATGCGAAAAATCTTGAAAAATAAAAACGCTCCGCTTGCTAAAGAAGATGCAGTCTATTCAAATTTTGTGGGATTATATAGCGTTTAAAGTGCAGCTGATTCAATTGAAATCCACTAATTACAATCTGCAGGCATCAAACCAAAAGCTATGCAGAGTCTTATTGTTATTTTTCTTTACAAAGCAGCCACAACCTGCCCCATCAAGCATGTTTCAGACAATGACCTTTGCTCTATGTGGAAGCAATGTCTCTCTGCAGAGGTTTGACACACCTCTTGCGGAGTCAGACCTAGAGTTTTGCAGTCAGCCAGGAGCATGACCTTTGCTGATTACATAGCTATAGATGGGACTTGGCAAAGATTTGTCTAACAGCATGCTGGCATGGGACAGGATTTTCCTACTACTACAGGATAATCCCACTACTGAACACAGTGGATCACGGTGCTTGGTTCCCAGCCGCTGTGAGTATCCTGGGTATCGTGTGATGGCAATGACCAATGGTGGTGATCACATGTTCTTATACAAGCAGTCTGTCACAAATGGCTTTCCATTTATGACAGCTTGCTTACTGTTGACCTGCTGTGATTGGCTACAGCTAATCACTGGGTACCTGGTACCCTGTGATTAGCTGTAGCCAATCACCGCAAGTCAACAGTAAGCAAGCTGTCATGATTGGCTTTCCATTCATGTCCGTTAATTGCTTATAACAGTGATCATCACTGTATAAGCATTAAGTGTTAAAAAAAAAAAAAAAAAATCCTTGACATCCCCTAAGCATAGTACAGTGTCATTATGAAAGTATGTTTTGAAAAAAAGTTTTAAAAAATTGTGTTTTTTTTTTTTATTTTTTACATCCTGTTACATACAGTGTGCATCCATGATTACTGCCACACCAGTCATATGATGCTGTACTGCACTGGGTTAGTATGTAAAAAAGAAAATGTGAAGAAAACCCCAAATTTTATTTTGTTTCTTTTTACAAAAAATTGTGACAAAATTACAACTTAAAAAAAAAATTTGCCTTGCCTCTTACTAAATACCTTGGATTGTCTGCTTTCCAAAAAGGGGCAATTTGGGGGATATTTGTGCTGTCCTGGCATTTTAGGGTCTCAAGAAGTGAGGCTGTCAGTACTTCTGCATTGATCAATTTTTAAATCTATATGCCATAGTTTGTAGACACTATAATTTTCACACAGACTAAATATACACTGATTTGGGTTATTTTTTTACAAAAGAAATGAAGCAGAATACATTTTGGCCTACGTTTATGAAGAAAATGTTATTTTTAATAGACTAAATGTTTTTTTGGCAAAATGTCATAAATGTTTCCATTTATATAGCAAAAAAATAAACCAAAAGACAGCTCTGTTTGTACCCAAATAAAATTTTATATAATTATTTTCAGTGTTGCATGACCATGCAATTGCCAGTTAAAGTAGCACAGTGCTTAATAGCAAAAAATGCACTGGTCATAAAGGGGGTAAAACCTTCTGGAAGTCAAGTGGTTAAAAAGTGGGTCTGAGTCTTGGGGCTCATTGTGGGCCCAGAAGGCATTGTATCCTTTGTAAGAGAACATGCATGCACTTTCATTTCAAGTTGCATTATAGAAATTTTAGAGGTGGAAATCTACTTGAACGACATGGGAGAAGTCATAGATCTCCTGGAACAGTGTTGCCTCCTCACACCTGATTTTAAACCTCTGATTGCCTTACTACCGTGTCACAATCGCGTGCATTGCTTTGCTATCATGGGTTTAAATCCAGTGATGAGGCAACATATCGCCTCTTCTCCACCTGTCAAACCACTGGGATCATTTTGCAGAGGAACAGCAGTGCCTACTTCACCTGTGAATGAGCCCTTCGCTGTAGTCAGCAGCGGCACCCTAAGGGCTTGTTAACATGTAAAGTTGTGGGGTGGTAAAACCCTGCAGTTGAATCATGACGTTACTGACAACCCCCTGACTGAGATCTGTCCGTCACCTGGCTAATATCTACTGGTTGCTGACCTCCACATTAGAGCATGTGTTTTTGGTTCCAGAACTCATCTCTGACTTTTTTTCCTTCTGTACAAGAATTGGTTGTCTGGACAACAAAGCATAGACAGTAAAAACATTGTTAGACGTTCTACCCCTTTCATCTGTCTTCATTTTTTTTTATTTCTGTTCCTCTTGGGGAAATTGTACATTCAATTCTGTGCTGAAACCCCCTAACGGGGACACCAACCCTTCCTTGTGCAATCCAAAATGAAATAGAAATTGGTCTGGAGTTGAAATTTAATATGTTGCATCTGAAATTCTTAAAAGGTCTGCAAATATAAACATTAGACACATTGTTTAAACTGGGCTTTGTCCATAACCTAAATAAACCTAAGAACATTTATTGTACAGTTTTCATGCTCAACTTTTTTTTTTTTTTTTTTTTTTGCAGTTTATTGTGGACATCACTAACGCTACATTTTTTACGCGGATATGAAGAGTGAGGTTTCTTCAGATGCACCAAAGAATCAGGAAAGCCTAAAAGGGGTGTTGCTGAACCCTGAGCCTATTGGGCCAGCAAAGACCTTCCCATCAGACGTGGACATGATCTCCAGTAAGGTGGGAAATGAGTTCTCTCATTTGTGCAGTGATTCAAATAAGCAGCCGAGGAGCTTAAACGGCAGCACAGAACAAGAGAAAGGACTTGTGCGAAAAAAGAGGAAAAGCCAGCAGGCTGGGCCTTCCTATGCACAGAGTTGTGAGGCAAAGAAAAATCAGAGACTGATTGAACTTCGATTAGGGCCTCAGAGTGATGAAGATAATGACTCTTCCTTTAGTGATTGTGTATCTTCACCTTCATCTAGCTCACATTTTGGTGACTCTGATACTATGACTTCTGATGAGGACAAAGACAACCCTAGACATTTCTCTCCGGCAGGTGTAAATACTACAAATAGGACTCCTTCAAGGGCTCAAAAATGGCCTCGTCCCCAGTCAGAGCCTGTGCCTAGTATGCTAATGAAGCGGCCTTGCTATCAAGTAAGCGCCTTACGGAGGTCTATGCATCGGAAGACTTTTATGAAAAAGGGTTCCACACAGAGGACACAAAAGCAGAAGGAGAGGCTATTATTGCAGAGGAAGAAGAGAGAGGTTCTGGCCAGGAAGAAGTATGCGCTACTCCCTAGTTCCAGCAGCTCTAGTGACAATGACCTCAGCAGTGAGTCAGCCTCCAGCACTAGTTCTTCCACTGAAGGAGAAGAGGATATCTTTTTGTCTCCAGAGGAAAACCACCAAAATGGTACAACTCTTCCCTCAGGTAAAACACATTTTAAAATGCATTCTCTTGTGTTTGTACATAAACTGTTTTTATTATTTCTTCTTCCCTTTGCTGGTGGTTTCAAAGCGGAACTTAAGTGGTTGTAAACCCTTGCCTTATACCTTGTGAAGTCCTAGCCTCAGGTAATACACAGTAGTGGAACAAATCCTCCTACATAAGGTGTACCTGTTTATTTGCAGCCATTTTGTCCTGTAGATCCTTTTAAAGCTCAGATGAAAAGGATTTTTCAGACTCTCAAAATCATGAGCAGGGAATTGCAGTTACACTTTACAAGAGCTCTGAAAACAGGAACAGAGATGAGGCTGTCAATAATAGGCTGCGTCACAACTTTGTTCCCTGTCACCTTTACCTCTGCTGATAAGAGGAACAAGACAGCAGACAGAAATGACACTTTTTGTATTTAGGCACTATACACTATACTTTTACCTTCTAAATGCTACTGCTTTCTTATGTCTCCTACAAGAATGCATAAATAACAATGTAATACCTTTTTTTTTTTTTTTTTTTTTTTTTTTTATTTTCTATGCGTTCATGTGACTGCAAAGCCTTGGCCCCTCCGTGTCGTGTGGCTGGTAGGCGGAAACAACTTGTTCATGCCTAGTGCCTTAAACGCCGGTGGGTGATGTCATTAACCCGAGGAACTCCTTTTCATCGTTGATCATGCACATTACACAAAGGAGCAGAGCTTTGCAGTCACATGACCAAATAGAAAATTAAACAAAGATATTATGATATAGCAGCTGTAGACAAAATTGTGTTTTGGAAATGTTAGGCAGTTCCTATCCTCCTATTGATCAGCGGTTCCAAATGAAGTAGTACTGCGGTAGGGAATAGACACAAAAAGATACTTAGCATCTTTCCCAATAATTATATTTATTTGGCGCTTTTGACATTTTCTTAACAATGCTTATGTAGGTATCACATTAATAATTAAAATTATATGGAGAACATAGGTACTGTAATGCAGTTGTCTTCTATAGATCAACATACCTATATTCCAGTTTGTACTCTTCATAGAGTACTTGCTGTCACAGACTGAGGTATACCCAATGCTCAGAGTGGGGCTTGTCTGTGCTGAGAAGCTGTCATGAATGTGACCGCTTCACATACAGGACGGTATCTCTGGCCACATTCAGCTATTGGCCAGGAGAATATAAACAAACGGGCAGGGGATACTGGTAATGTCATCAGAGCCAAAACGGGGGAGGGGGACACGCTCAAGTGCCTCAGGTGCTACACTGAGAGGGTCACCACGGCAGACAGAGCAACCTCACTCCTCCTGTAGAGCCAGGAAAATGTGCAGGAGGCCTGTATGTTGGCAGGTGCTCAGAGGGAGCAGTGGGGGGGTGGGGTCAGTACAGGGAATGCAGGAAAACATGCCTGCCCTCCTCCCCCTCCCAGTACAGCGCACAAGTCATCTGTTCTAAGGAGTTTCGGAGAGGCAGAGGGAGCGGCAGCTCAAATGTCTGTGTCTGGCTCTGCTGTGTTCAGTACTGATGTATGGGGGGAACTCTAATGCAAGGGGAGGCTCTGAAGTAAAAGGGATACTAATGTAAGGGGGGGCTTTAAGGCAAGGAAGGTACTATTGTAGGGAGGACACTGATGTAAAAGTGGAAAACTGATGTAAACTCTGGCCTAAGAGGGGACACTGAAGTAGGGGGGCACACTGATGCAAAGAATGACTGATGTAGAGGAGGGCATTGATGTAAGAGGGGCACTGATGTAAGGGGTGCATTGATGTAATATAATTGTAAAAAATTTACCTATTTAAAAAAATGAAATACTAAAAATATCTTCTGACATAATCTTTTGCAGAGGGTGGGGGGAGCCTAACTGAGTCCTTGCCCCGGGTGACAGAATGTGTCTAGCTTGTCCACTGGATGTCACTTGAATCACAGGGGAGGTACTAGTCTTAAGGTCCACAGCACCTGTTGATTTGGCCTTGCTTTTGATTGAAAGAGATGACAGTGGTTGGATTTGAAACTGCTATTGGACTGAATAGCAGCTATGGATCCGCCCACCGTTATTTGCTGTCAATCAATGAGCAAGGCAGTCTAACACAAGTTCCCCGTCAGACTTCACCCACAACACTACAAAAAGCCTTGGACTTGTCCCTATCAGTGTGGCGGGCACAGTGGCCAATGACAGAGAAGCAAGCTCACTGAGGAAGGACTGCCCAGTACTCTGATGCTTGCACCAGAGCTCAGCAATGACGTCTACCAGTTGAGTGGCAGCCGACAGAATTCTAAAGGGTGTCCACTATAACCTTTATGAATTACCTCCCTGACGACTGGGATAAAAAAAAATTTACGTAGCCTAATTTTCTAGATGTACAGTAGTAACCGGATATTTTACTGTCTATTTAGCTATACAACCCATTTCTCAAATCTTGTACAGTTGTGGCCAAAATTATTCAACCCCCACTGAAATTGAGTGTTTTGGCCAGTTTGACATTGCTTTTGATCATTCAGTCATCTTGCTTACATTTACATTAAAGAGGCACTTGTAGGTCAGACAAATATAACATAACAGTTATAATGAAATAACCACAAATGTCTTTTCTGTGCTCACAGCATTATCAGTTTTATTCAACCCCCAAGTGACATTCAATCTTAGTACTTAGTACAGCATCCTTTTACAGTTATAACAGCTTTTAAACGTGAAGCATAGCTTGACACAAGTGTCTTGCAGCGATCTACGGGTATCTTCGCCCATTCTTCATGGGCAAAGGCCTCCAGTTCAGTCACATTCTTAGGCTTGCGCACTGCAACTGCTTTCTTTAAGTCCCACCAGAGGTTCTCAATCGGATTTAAGTCTGGTGACTGCGATGGCCACTCCAAAATGTTCCAGCCTTTCCTCTGCAACCATGCTCTAGTGGACTTGGAGGTATGCTTGGGATCATTGTCCTGTTGAAAGGTCCAACGTCTCCCAAGCCTCAGGTGTGTGACGGACTGCATCACGTTTCCATCCAATATCTCCTGGTACTGAAGAGAATTCATGGTACCTTGCACACACTGAAGCTTCCCTGTACCTGCAGAAGCAAAACAGCCCCAAAGCATGATTGACCCTCCACCATGCTTCACAGTAGGCAAGGTGTTCTTTTCATCATAGGCCTTGTTCTTCCTCCTCCAAACATAGCGTTGATCCATGGGCCCAAACAGTTCTAATTTTGTTTCATCAGTCCACAGAACACTATCCCACAACTTTTGTGGTTTGTCCACATGGCTTTTGGCATACTGCAGTCGACTCTTCTTATTCTTTGGAGACAGCAAGGGGGTACGCCTGGGAGTTCTGGCACGGAGGCCTTCATTACGCAGTGTGCGTCTTATTGTCTGGGCTGAAACTTCTGTACCCACATCTGACAAATCTTTTCTCAGTTCCTCAGCAGTCACACGGGGACTTCTCTCCACTCTACGCTTCAGGTAGCGCACAGCAGTCGAAGTCAGCATCTTCTTTCTGCCACGACCAGGTAGCGTTTCAACAGTGCCCTTTGCCTTGAATTTGCGAATGATGCTTCCTAAGGTGTCTCTTGGTATGTTTAACATCTTTGCAATCTTCTTATAGCCATTGCCCTTCCTGTGAAGAGAAATCACCTCTTCTCTTGTCTTCCTGGACCATTCTCTTGCCTTCACCATGTTTGTAACCACACCAGTAAATGTCTAGAAGGAGCTGAGTATCACAGTCATTTTAAAGCTGCCTAATTGGTGCTTATTATGCTTGATTGCTGCTCGGTGACATCCACAGGTGTTTTCAATACCTGATGGAAAGCACCTGTATGAACCTCTGTTCTTCAGAGTGGTAGTCTTTAAGGGGTTGAATAATTGTGGCAATGAAGAAACCACATAAGAACCATTTACTACTGTATTACATAAACAATTGATGTCATTTTAGTTGCATTTGGGTAGTTACAACGTCCTTGTAGGATTTGATTCTGAATACAATTCCAAATGTACACTATAGTCCCTAAACCCCTTTACAGCATTGGGGGTTGAATAATTTTGGCCACAACTGTATATTGCAGCAGTGAAGGAATTCTTTGACTTTCATATTCCGTTCTAGAGCCTTGATCGTTGAGCCCTGTTACCAGAGGCTTGTTGGCAGAGTAGCTTGGTACAGCTGGTGCTAGCTTTAAATAAATCCCCCTGCCTGGCAATAAGTAGTTTGTTGCCATGGGTGGCAGAAAATGGAGCAGATGGTTTCTGAAGAATTCTTAAGCAGCAGAAAATGCCAGGCTCCAGTAATTTCCTAGATTTATTGATATTAATAACAAGTTTTACTGGTTGTTTGACTTTTAAAATACTGTTTTGCAAACTTAAGCATATCACAGTCCTTGGCACCTCAGACTGAGCAAATGAGGAAAAAATGTCTAATCGGCAATTAGCTGCAGCATGTGTTGAAATGAGCTGTAGATTCAGTGATGCAGCTGAATTATATACAAATCGTAGCTTCTTTTTTTTTTTTTTTTTTTTTTATAGGGGCAAAGTTTCTTTTTAAAAAAACATTTAAATAAATGCACGTATTTTTGCAAGAAATGTTTTTAATTTATTAATTTAACAGGAGCCTGCAAAGCATTGCACTGGCAATCAGCTTAGACTGTTAGCAAAGATCAAAATTTGTGAGCAGTGCACTCAAAATCAGGGAGTCCTTGTATGCGCCCAAATCCATTTACAGCTCACAACATATGAACAATACAGTAGGCACCACCTTGCATCTGTAGGGATTGCCTTCAAACTTCATTGGGGTTTCAGTGCAACCAAGGAAAAAACAAACTTTATATGCATGCCTCTAATTTACAGAAATACGTGCACAGCGCCTCACAAGCCATCCACCAGGGCAGTGCCATGTCAGTGCCAGGGCAGTGAGGACGTGCCAGTGTTTAATTTTACTTGAGTCTTGAAGATACATCACCTGTTTAGTGTGGCTCCATGGTTGCAGAAGGCTACAGTCTCCCAGGCGTACATCTGATGATAGTTTGCTATGGACACAGCAACACTCTGGAATGGCCACATACAAACGAGTCAGCTGCAGCCGGTTTGTGTGTGAACAGAACTCTTTGAAACCTGGACCCAAGGCACATATAGTTTTGCATGCTGGATGAGCAGTTACTTGTGAGCAGCAGCAGCCGCTGATTTTTAAAGAGTACAGATCTTACAGCTATCACTGACAGATGCTGCTGGTCACACACAGTTTGTGCAGGCAGTGTTTACAGCCGCCTGCAGGAACCTAAATCTCACCAATGGTTTACATGGCCATATACCAGTGGTCACAGGCAACCAAGGTCCCCACTGAATTTTGCTGCCAGTACCTACAGGTGCCAAAAAGATTTCAGCAGGTTCGGTTTAGAAGTTTTAACACTGTCAGGTTTTTTTTTTTTTTTTAATCAAAGAATATTATTTATTGAGCCACCTTCATAATGTACAAAAACTCACAACACAAACTTGCCAACATACAGAAAACAAGTAAATCTGCCATCCGATACAAAATGAACATTTGACAACGGTGCATTTCACAGATGAATGAACAGTCTAGCAGTACAGCTGCAAGGTGAACATAAATGTGACCTTCAAAAGACAATGGTAGACATAGTACAAAAAAAGAACTTCAAGAAGGACCGGCAAATCAGCCAGTCACAGCCCTATTGCCTGCAATAAAAAGTATAACTAAAACCATTATCCACAGCTGGATTACCAATAAATGATGTACAGTAGTGGATTCACTTTGCAGCCTTCTGTATCCAAAGTAAAAATATAAGGGGAACATAATTCTTACACCTGCAATAATCGTTCTGTGACTAATTGGTGAGGAGCTAGTCCAGGAGTATGAAGCCATGCCTACCATAAAGAGAAACTTACATTGTATAATAATTTTTTGCGCATCTTGCATATTTCTCAATATTGGAATTTTTATTGTCAGTTTGACATATTTTTATTGTATTTACTGATTATTTAGCACAATGGGGGGTGTGTGTGTATGTATGTGTGTATATGTATGTAATTTTACTGGACATGTTTAATAGCAAAAAGTCCAAAAATATTGTGTTTTTTCTCAAAATTGTCAGCCTTCTTTTTTTTTTTTTTTTTTTTTTTTTTTTTTTTTTAGCTTATAGTGCAAAAAAAAAACCGTACAGGTGATCAAATACCACCAAAAAAGAGCTCAATTCATGGGGAATAAAAGGACGTAAATTTCATTTGGATGCAGTGTTGCATGACCGTGCAATTGTCAGTTAAAGTAACGCAGCGTCATAACACAAAAAATGACCTGGTCATGATGGGGGGTAAAACCTCTAAAGGGCAGGTGGATAAGAAAGGATTTCAATGTAGTATTGGTGTATAGTTGGGAAATGTAGCAAATGCCCGCATCTTCCCAGGACCGGAAACCATCAAGTTTACACACCTCAGCATAAGAAGGGTTACGCCACAATGGAGCACTTGTCAGGTTTGCGTAATATGAGTAAGGTTCCCTTTGAACCCTTTATGTAAATCTTTTGGGGAAAATTGTATATCACTGTCATTACTCACAAGGAAGTAGAACTGTAATGTATGCTTTGATTTTGTTTTATGGGAAGAATGCTTTTCTGAAAGCACAATCACCGTGCATTTCCTTTTTATTTTACAGGTAGCATTGATGAGGATGTTGTAGTCATTGAAGCTTCATCCACCCCTCAAGTCCCTGCCAATAATGAAGAAATCAATGTTACCTCTACTGACAGTGAAGTGGAAATAGTCACAGTTGGTGAAACCTACAGGTTGGAGCTTTACAATGTTTACAATAAATGAGAAAAAATTGATATCCTTTTAGTTGGTTTTTGGTTAAATTGTGTTGTAGGCCATAATAGGTTTACGTTACTGTATTATGCCAAGCGCATAATGCGTGAGGGCCTGGCAAGGGGACTTTCCTGCTAAAGATTTGCCTGCTTGTGCTACAGACCTCCCTCAAGGAAGCTTCTGTTGCCTTACTATCCTCATAAGCAGCTATACATTTAAGAAGCAAAGAGCATCTTGACTTGACTATTTGAATTATTAATTTGAACGTTGCCTTTTGGAAGGAGCAGCCTTTGATGTAGGACATTAAGCAGCAAAGGTAAAGCAGAATGCAGCTAGCTTAATAAAATAAGTGATACTTTCTAGCATTATTTAGGAAGACCAGGCTGTTTCTCCTTTGTAAGAAGTTAATGAGCACCTTACCCCACTGGAAATGCTACTTTTGCAATGGTAGATCTTTTACTGTTCATCCTCTTTTGTGAAAAATGAATGATTCACAGCAACTTCACAATATCTGTTCTCTGGGTCAGGGGAGGATCGCATCAGATTCTGATACTCATGAAAAGCAAAGAGGATAGAGGCAGATAATCTCCACACTATCTTTCTCAGAATATCTGCCTGGCAATGAGCAACCTGAATTGCCCTGCTTTAGAGCATAAACTTATTTATTTTTTTAGTTAAGCATGCTTCAAAATATTTTTTCTTTAAAACCAGAGTTTAGTATCAAATGAACCTTTCTGTCACATTTTCCTGGACAAACCAAAGGTATAATGCTATTATGTGCAAGAATATCTGTTCCTCCTTTTTATTTGCATGCATTAGCCCCAAAAATGTAATATTTTGCAGCTTTCTGGTCATTTAGATGTGGTGGTTGCATTGGATTATTATTTTAGGATTTTTTCACTCTGTTTTTTCACCTTGTAATCTGGCCAGTAACACACCTTGTATTAGAGTGTCTCCAATCTGGATGAAGGAGCACAGGGAGTACTATTGGACAGCAGCATTGTTCATCTGGGTGGGGGGTGGGAGTGTTAGGATGTTTTAGCAGATTTAGATGCACTAACAAATTGAACTCCATCTAACACTTTATAAGCAGTTACAGTAACTTTTTTTTTTTTTTTAATTTTTAAGAACATATAAAAAATGTTTTCTTTTGGGCTTAAAAGGGTATGATAAGAATTTACGAACAAAATAAGAGATGTATGGATTTGTCAAAAACAAATACTCCCTAAGTGGATGTAGCATTGATCCATTGCTGCATCTGTCCCCCACCAGCACCGAGACTCAGTTCTCAGCTCTCACTGATCAGAGACCTGGTGAATGTCAGTCACTGGCTCTCTGCTTTCCTCCTTCAGCACTCTCTGGATCTCTGGACTTTGGAGGGGGCAGGAATGGCTGGCTCAGGCTTTTGGCAACACACTGGGAGGCTGAGCCAGCTGCTGGTCCAGGCTTCAGGGTGGATCCTGACCATATGGTCAGGATCTTTTCTGAACCTGGGCCGGCTCTGTGAATTCAGCTGATAGTGGGCTTGAGCCCACTTTCAGCTGAAAATTGGTCACGGGAGTGCAGAACAAACTACACTCCCATGATCTATATAAGTATAGCCAAAATAGCTTTGGCTATATTTCTCCTTTTAATATTGTTTTTCAGTAAGATGAATTATGGGCATCAAGAAATGTAAGCATGGATCTACATTCACATAGACATGGATCTGCTGGATTCAGCAGCGGCCTCTGCAAGCCATTGTTGGCATTAGCCAAGCAGTTAAGAATATGTCTAAATGATATGTTTGTTTACGGTCTGTATGCTGTCCTTCATCTCAGTGTGACTGCATCATTCCTCTGTAGATTTTAGCAGGCGACATAGTCCAAGCTCTGGACATTGCACTTTGCAAAGGCCACAATCATTTGCACTGATTAAAATTCAACCAGATATATCATAATTTGATCTGCTTGGCTGGGAAGTGTTTGGCAAGCACAGCTGTCTATGCATGTGAATTTGGTGCCCAGCAATCCAGTTATTTAGCTAGTTCAGTCACAAGCTCAACAGACTCCAGGAAACCTATTAAGTTACTTATAGAGCTTTATTATGGAATATCTGGTACACATTGGGACATTTTTGTGATCTCTAGCAGACCTAAACAAGTTTATTTATTTTTTTAGTATTTACAATTTTTATTGATTTTTATTGATTGGAACAACATAAAAAGGAGCACATCGATGGTAAAATCTGCATGGTTCAAAACATAACATCACATAGCTACAGTGGGGAGGCTATCAGAGCAGCACAGTTGGAGAAAGGTGGGAAGGGGAAAAAGAATCCCATGGGTGCCACACTGCCTCGAACACCGCTATCGAGCCGGAGTGTTTAGCAGTCAGGTATTCCATCTGTCGTACATCAGCAGTAATTTTAAACAAAGTGGACATCGAGGGCGATATAGCGGATAACCAACACATAGGAATGCTTCTTCTGGCCGCAGTCAAAATGTGTGGAGAGTTTCCTGGACACCTTGGGAAGGCTTGGGAACGGCAAGCCCAATAAAAAGTATAGGGGCTCAAAGGGGAGAAAGGTATGCAATAACAATTGTAAAAAAGACAAAACCTCTTCCCAAAAAGGGACAATGGATCCACAAGTCCAAAAAATGTGGAAGAGGGAGCCAAAGTCTTTCCCACAACGCCAGCAGGCAGAAGAAGCACTTGAGTTAAAAGCATGAATAACCTCAGGGGTTTTGTACCACAACATCAGAATTTTGTGTGTATTTTCTTTATAAACAACACAGAAGATTTAGATGTGTTTTCCCAAATTTTCTTCCACTGTGTTAGATCGATGTCACATTGTAAAAACTGGGACCACTTGCACATGTAATGGTGAGTGTCATTAGAGAGGGGGGGGGTAGCGTCCATTAAGAGTTTTTGTATGTTTTGGAAATTATACCCCTTTTGATGTGGGCCCTGTATACATAGACGCTCAAAGGGAGAAGGTTTCCCAAGAGTTTAAGTGGGGGACATGGTGGAGAAAAAATGGTGTAGCTGAAGGTGTATATATAAAAATGTTGGGTGGGCAGATCCTTTTTCTGGAGGTGGGAGAACGGTTGCAACTTCTGAGTAATAGGGTGTACTAGATGGCGCATAAACCAGTTTATTAACGTAGTCTTTTTTTTTTTTTTTTTTTCTTTCTATGTTCTAAATTTCTGGTATTTCATTTGGTGCTCAGCTATAGCATAGAGCAGTTTGTGTTCAGGCAGCAAGTACAGATTGACTGCCTGCCCCTCTCTTAGCCAGTTATTAGCACTTTATGCACAGACGCTACCCTGCATCACAGTATGTCTCAGTACCATGTGAGGACTGGAGCCTGAGTGAGCCCAAAACTTTAACCTACATGCTCTTCAGGGCTACACAAAATAGTTTGTGAAATTAAAAATTCTACATTTATTGCGTCAGGTTATGGTAACTTCTGCAGAACCTAGGAAGAGCAGTTAGTCTATCATACACATTTTTATTATTCTATGCAGCATATTTTTTTGACCAGGTTCACACCAGTCCAATGTGTGAGTAGTTAGCATACGTATAGTGTCACTTGTGGTTTACTGGTTAGCATACTTGGGGCACCATCTGCATGGAATTGGTGTTAGCACTACTGTCTTTGCAGTAAGCCAGTTTCACATTCTCAAAAACATACTGGTAGACTAATTTATCATCTGACTCAATTTAACCTAACCTCCCTTTCCTAACATAAACATGTGGTTTACTTAAGCCATCCTTCCGTTTATTTCGTCCACCACCTTGTTATAAAGCAGCACCATGTAAGCTTCAAGACACTGGTTAGAGCTTACAGAAGACTGCCAGATATTTTGCTTTTCTCCTGGTGGCTGAACAGAAAGGTGGGGGCTGCCGCATCCCACTTCCCTCTGCATTCGTCTTGCTGGTGTTTACTTGGGGCAAGTCCTGGAAGCCAGAGACAGTCATGCCATAGCAAAGCAGCCGTCTCCTTGCCAGCTGCAGTGTATAAGTCAGCTGTACGTCAAGGGGGGGTGCACTATCTGACATCACAGCTAGCATTACACATCAACTTGTAAGATGGGTCAAGGTACTACGTGTACTTTGTCCCATCAGAAACTGAACAATAATAAAAAAAAAGTGATACTTCTTCTTTGAGGGACAAATATGTAGCTCTCTATTCATTAATACATCATACATCAATACATTTATTTTAAGGCAGTGTAAGTACAGTACTCAAATATAGCTTTCAGTTAGCCTCTTGACTCCTACTGTACAGCAGAGCTCAGGAGGCAAGCAGTCCCAAGTAGCTAGTTAGGTGGGTTACAGTGCAAAGGATTATGCTGATCGGAAAAATGAAAAGGTATTAGCTCATCTGTCTGCTGCTTCTCTTTTCACTGTCTGGTCACAGGGTGAGGATAAGGAGGCTCTCTGTGTGAAAGGGAAACTGCAGCAGAGAAAGTTTGGGACAAAATGAAGCAATGTGCTCATTAACAGAGATTTGTCACACAGCACACTTCTCACTATAAAAAAAAAAAAAAAAAAAAAGCCCCCCCCCCCCCCCCACACACTGCAAGGGTTAATGCCTGTTCTTGTTAGAGGAGAGATGAAAAGGCTTTCGTTTATCTGTCTGCTCCTGCGCTCTAATCCTGCCTGAAGCTCTGGTTTGTGAGCGAAGTCACAGGGACATCAATAGAGTGGGGTTACTTAACCTGTGGCCCTTTAGAGCCCTCATATGTGGCTCTTGTACTCAAACAGAAAAGCACACGTCTATTATATTCTGCCGGTCTGGTACGCTTTCTGAAAGCACACCAAAGCTCTTGAATGCAGGAATTTTGCTGCGCTTTCAGAAAGTGCACCACACTCACAAGATATGATAGAAATCCATGGAAAAGTGCAGCTCACTTGCAGGAAAGGTGTAGGTGCCCTGCATTGCACCCGCGGTGCCCGTAAACTGCATCATTTCAGTGTGAAAGTAGCTCTATAGGGTGCATAGGATAGTAAGGGCTCGTTTAAATTTTCACTTTTGGGGAATGTAAAATCCTATAGTTGATGGGTGTTTTTACCACCCCGCCCTAATCACTGGTGTAGAATCGGGTTGAAATAGTGACCCAGCTCCATGCTCCAGAGGGTCCGTGCAGCCTCCCTGTCAGATTCTGTTTTACACTTGCACAGGAGGGGTGGCGGAGGAAGCATATACAGGAACCAGTCCTCTCCAGTTTCCTCCTGAAACCGCTGAAAACTGGCTTCTCCTCCTCCCAAAAGTATTCTGCATCTGCAGGAGGAAAGATGTTTTATTATGCTATTCAAATAAATAGAAATTCTGAACCATTTCATTGTGGCTCCTGACCCATTGCCAAATCACCTAAGTTCCCTCGCTCTTTAAAGGGTTGAGCACCCCTGCAATACAGGGTCATTTATCCTTTTTTTTTATACTATGAGGAGGCAGGAGTGCGACTGGCCACAGCTTACAGAGCAGGCTATGGGGAAGACTGGTCATAGTCTAGACATAATGAGCAATTAACCCTTGTGTGTGTTTGTGTTTTTTTTTTTTTTTTTTTTTTAATTCTTTGCGTTGGATTTTAATTTTGAATTTTGTGAGCTACTTGTCTAACGAACCCATAGACATAAAGGATGATTGAGTTTTTGTCAGATTAGCTGATATCCGTGTTAATATGTGTACCTTCTAACTGCTCTCACATGTTATCTCCTGGTAAATAGTCTGATTCATTAAGCTGTGTTTTTTGATGATACAAACAAAAATTATGCTCATGTGCAGCCCATTAAAAAACCCAGATCCTTAGCAGTCTTATTGCCCGCTTGCCATCACTTGTGTCTATAGCCTTCTGAAGAATGGCTTGAAGTGTGAGTGGAGTGTTGGCTTGTTCTGCAGTTCTTGGTAAACATCCCATCTGCTTCAGCGTGAAATGGAAAAGGCCCAGATCATTTGGAACTTGCTATGGTATAAACAGACGGTTGGAGTATTTTCCACTGGCTCCTGAAATTTGCTTGGTGTGCAGTTTCCTCTTCACACACAAAGCAAATTAAATGAAAGCATTTAACCCATTTGCTGACAAGTGCTGGAAACCTGAACTGTGCTGTCTAAACAGTGGTATACACTACTGCCTACACAGGATATTCTACTCTGCCTACATTTTCATCCAGCACCGTAATGCGTAAATAGTTTACAGTACAAGTAGAACTTCTTCTGGATACATTGTATAGTGGGGAGGTTCCACATCTGTGTATTTCCCCTGGGTACTCTCTCACAATGTGGGTAGAACATATGTAATGAGAGTTCTTCACCAGTTATCTGTACACAAAATCACTTAATATGTTTATCCCAGGAAGACATAAAATTGTGAAAAATTAGATTGAGCAGCAGATATATAGTGTATCCTAATCTATTTGTATCCATAGGAACATGCAGAATAGATCGGCTTGATGATTATAATTGTATCCATGTATGCTTATTAAAAACATTGTGTTTTTTTTATTTTGCAATTACATTTGTACATGAATAGGGTACGCCATAAACCTCAAAATGCAAATCAGTCTAAAAGCAGTGGCTAATGTACAAATACGTATTTAAAAGGAAAACTATAAAAGTGCAAGCTTGAAAAATGTCAAAGCCATGAAAAATTTTACTTTAAAATTGAATTCCCCAAATTATTTTTATTGCTTATCCACATTGGTCCAACTTGGCACAATGTAAGTATGCATATTTTATACCTTAGGGGGTGCTGAGATGGCTCACAGTCACTGTAATAGTTTGAGCTACTAAAGTGATAGTCTCAGTCTTCCGAGTCCTTTGCAAGGAGACTTCCCCTCTGCACACTGACCACAGTGGAGGTCATTTGGAACTGGAAGCCATTCACAGAATGCATTGTATTTTTGTTCAATGATTACAAGGTGTTCTCTGATTGCATGAGGTTGAAAGGAGGGCAGCTGTGGTCAATGTGCCGAGGGGAAGACACTTGGCACAGGGCCCAGATGTTCACAGCTATCAATTTAGTATTGCCTACTACTAGAGTGATTTTCCTCTTCCCCAGCAGTCTCTCTGGAATGAAACCGGCATATTTATGTTGATCCAAGCTGAACCAATGAAAGTATGCAATAAAGATCATACCCAGAGCTTAGCTTTAAGATAAATACTGTAGTTTATAACATAAAATATAACACAAGCTCAGAGATCACGGGGATGCGGTTTAGTCCTGGGAGTGACAGTGTTCAAGGATCATGACAATGTGGTTTTAGTCCTGGGAGTGGCAGGGTTCAGGTATCATGTCGATGTGGCTTAGTCCTGGGAGTGGCAGGGTTCAGGGATCATGACAATGTGGTTTTAGTCCTGGGAGTGGCAGGGTTCAAGGATCTTGGAGATGTGGCTTAGTCCTGGGAGTGGCAGGGGTTTAGGGATCATGACGATGCGGTTTAGTTCTGGGAGTGGCAGGGTTCAGGGATCATGGGGATGTGGTTTTAGTCCTGGGGAGTGGCAGGGTTCAGGGATCATGGAGATGTGGCTTAGTCCTGGGAGTGGCAGGGATCATGGAGATGTGGCTTAGTCCTGGGATTGGCAGGGATCATGGAGATGTGGCTTAGTCCTGGGAGTGGCAGGGATCATGGAGATGTGGCTTAGTCCAGGGAGTGGCAGGGTTCAGGGATCATGACAATGTGGGTTTAGTCCTGGGAGTGGCAGGGTTCAGGGATCATGGAGATGTGGCTTAGTCCAGGGAGTGGCAGGGTTCAGGGATCATGGAGATGTGGCTTTAGTCCTGGGAGTGGCAGGGTTCAGGGATCATGGAGATGTGGCTTAGTCCTGGGAGTGGCAGGGGTTCAGGGATCATGACGATGCGGCTTAGTCCTGGGAGTGGCAGGGGTTCAGGGATCATGACGATGCGGCTTAGTCCTGGGAGTGGCAGGGGTTCAGGGATCATGACGATGCGGCTTAGTCCTGGGAGTGGCAGGGGTTCAGGGATCATGACGATGCGGTTTAGTTCTGGGGAGTGGCTGGTTTCAGGGATCATGGGGATGTGGTTTTAGTCCTGGGAGTGGCAGGGATTCAAGGATCATGGGGATGCAGTTTAGTCCTGGGAGAGCAGGGTTCAGGGATCATGGGGATGCGGTTTAGTCCTTGTAGAGGCAGGGTACAGGAATCATAGGAATGTGGTGACTGAACAGTGAAAGGAGGAGTAACGGCATAACTATTTTGCTACTCCCTCTGTCACTTTTCTCTCTCTCCTCCTATCAACATGCTTCTTTTACTGCAGCACTCTGGATTGGCTCCTTGTGCTTCTTTTCCTCCTGCTCTCTGAGCTGTGCTGTACAGACTGAACAGGGACTGCAAGATGCTGATACTAGTTACGGTAAATACAGGAAATTACACTGCTTGTATTTAAAAAATACATTTTGTGATGTATTATAGTGCTGCATTATTATGTGCATTTTTTATATCTGTCTAGGGTTTAGACTTGGCATTTGAAGCTTTGTTAGTCTTATAGAAGGTCTTATTTTAGTTAAGACCAGCCGAACCCTAAGAAGGCACTCACACTGGGCATGATTGAACTGAACCGTGCCCGAGTTAGTTAATAATAGCCCTTATTGAAGTCTTTTACCACTCAATTGATATCAAAGCTGCTACCTGCTTAGTGAAATAACTCCTTTGTTGGGCATTGGAATAGACTTCTACTTCGGGTGATTGTCCTGAAAAGAAAATCTAGTAAATAATTAAATACATTGACTCCACTGATTAAGTGTTTTTAGGAATTTTATTTTGGATGTACATCCTCTAAAAGTCATTTTTACAGAGCATGAACGATCGTTTCCTTTTCTTCATAGATCTCGTTCCACACTTGGACACTCTCGATCTCACTGGGGCCAAAGTCCAATTTCGCAGACTGGAAGAACCCAGGAGCACAGAAGTCGCAGTAGGGTTTCCACTGTTATACAGCCACTTAGACAAAGTGCAACTGAAGTTGTGGACCTGACTGTAGATGAAGATGGTAAGTTTGGGATAAATGTGTCTGGAAATCACCAGGATTGTGCTATGCAGGCAATATATTTTTTTTTTTTTGTTTTTGTTTTGTTTTTGCCAAAAGCAGATGTTTCAAGTGAATGAAGTATTCTGAGAGGGTTTGCAGCAAAGATTTTTTTTCTTTTCTTGACATTTTTGACCCGGTTGTGGATTTTTGTATAGTTTACTATAAAGATCCCATTTCTTGTTCATATTCAAGCTGCATTCATCACTATGAAATGTTCATTTTTATGGAACCTGCACGCAAGACTTATCAAGCAGGGTTTTTTTTTTCTAAACTTGCCAGCACTGTCCCAGATGCCAAGGTGTGTATGCGGCCTTAAACGGACAGAAAAAAGGAATCCTCAATACACTGCATCACTCACTGTTAATAGTATTGCTAGCCATGGCTCTGCATATTTGAAAACTTGGTGCCAATGTTATTAATAAAAGGCATAGCAGTATGACCGAATGTTCTTAAATATTATATGCATGTGTTTGCATGTGCACAGTCTCTGCTTATTTAACCACTTCAATACCTTTTACCCCCTTCCTGTCCAGGCCAATTTTCAGGTTTCAGCACTCACACTTTGAATGACAATTGCGCGGTTGTGCAACACTACCCAAAATATTTTGTTCACACAACTAGAGCTTTCTTTTTGTGGTATTTAATCACCGTTGGGGTTTATATTTTTTGCTGAGTTAACAAAAAAATACCGAAAAGTTTGAAAAAAAAAGTTTCTTTTTCTGTTAAAGTTTGCAAATAATTGTTCTTCATAAATTTAGGCCAAGATGTATTCTGCTACATGTCTTTGGTGAAAATAACCCACATTATTATCTAGTCTGTAGGAAAGTTCACAATCTATGGGATATATCTGAAAATTGATCAGTCCTGAAATACTGACAGCCAATTTAATTTCTTGAGACCCAAAAATGTCAGAAGTACAGATATGACCCTTTTTTGAACAGTAGACAGTCCGACGTATTTCATAAGAGGCATGGCGATTTTTTTTTTTTTTTTTTTTTTTTAAGGTGTAATTTTTGTCTTTTTTTTTTTTTTGGAAAATGACGAAATTACAAAAATGTTTATAATTTTTTTTTTTTTTTTGCATACTGTCACCAGTGCAGTACAGCGTCGTCATATAACTGGTGTGGCGGTGATCAGGGACACTGACTGGTGACAGTATGGGGAAAAAAAAATTTTTTTTTAATTTTTTTTATTACATTTTTTTTCTCTTTAAAATTTTTTTTAATTACACTATGACCAAAGAAGTATGTTACCATGGTAATATTGTACTACTTTGGGGAAGTGATCAGTATCTTTTTTTTTTTTTTTTTTACACAATTTGCTTTATAGCAAATTTTTTTTTTGCTATAAGCAAGCATTTAACTGAAATCGATTCATTCAGGGTTTTTTTTTTTTTTTGTGTTTAGCTGTGCTTGGCCACGGCTAATAGCATGACACAGATGGGCTGTGATTGGCCCAGCCTGTGCATATGATCACTGTGACCATTCACAGCTAGACACACTTGTATACAATGGATGGCATGAAAGGAAGCCATCGAGTGTATACAGTTGTCATGTGACCTGTGATTGGTCACAGCAGGTCACATGGTACTGGCAATGGGGCCGGTACGCAGATCTGTCATTGGCTGTCTGAGGTACACAGCCAGTGGCAGATCTGGCCACAGCGCGGCCCTGTGGGCCGGGCGGGATGTAGTTAACCTGCACACATAAATACATAATATTAGACATGGTCAATTTATGTGTAATAATTCTTCATTTTATATAGACCCCACAGTTGTGCCATCTACCTCTGGCAGAACGGAGTCCCCATCTATCAGCACTATTTCCAGTAATACGTCTACCTCAGAGCCGGCCTCTGATGCTATTTCAGGACTCTCGGGGTCTCTGGCTTCCACAGTGTCTGAGTCGCCTTCAGTCACCACAAGTAGCAGTACTACAAGCATTACATCAGGTAAATCAACACTGATTTTTTTTTTTTATCATAGCAATGCACCCCATCAGCAGAGTATACATTGGTCCATGATAGACTTCTTTTTTTTTTTTTTTTTTTTTTTTTCCCTGTGAAATCCTCTGTTCCCTACTTAAACTGCGTTCTATACATCACTTCAAATTCTTACTTAATTCTATGGATACTTGGGCATGCCATTCTAATAACTTTGCCTTTTCAGCTGGCTAAGTTGGGAGGGTCAGTCTATGGCTGGGAAAAGCCATGAACAAAAAATGACTTTTCTATGGATGTGTACAGAACAAATGCAGTGCTATAGTTGCTAGGAAGTGAAATTAAAGGGGGGGGGGGGGAATTGAATATAAATCGGCAATTTTTTTAGTGACTGGTGTTTTCTTACATTCGAGTAATATACAGTATTGTGTAAAAGTCTTAGGCAGGTGTGAAAAATGCTGTAAATTAATAATGCTTTCAGAGATCGAAGTGTTAATAGTTTATATTTTATCAATTAACTTGGAAAGTAAATGAACAGAAGAGAAATTCAAATCAATATTTGGTGACTACCCTTTGCCTTCAAAAACTGTGTAACTGAATAGGTGCTGCTTTGAAGGAACTTGGCAAGTAGGTTGTTCTAAACATCTTGGAGAACTAAGCACAGATCATCTAAGGCTGTAGGCTGCCTCAAATTCCTCTGTCTCCTTATGTAATCCCAGACAGACTCCATGATATTGTGATCAGAGCTCTGTGTGGGCCAAACCATCACTTCTAGGACTCATTGAAGATAGTTCTTATTGACTGTTTGGAGCAGTTGGCCTGCTGAAAAATAAATTTGGGATTAATCTCATTCCTCCCTGATGATATGGCATGATGGATAAGTATCTGCTCGTAACTCTTGAGCATTGAGGACACCATTGATCCTGACCAAATCTCCAACTCCTTTTGCATTAATGCAGTCCCAAACTTTCAAGGAACCTCCTCCATGCTTCATTATTGCCTGCAGACACTAATTATTGTACCTCTCTTCAGCCCTTCATGAACAAACTGCTTCCTGCTACAGCCAAACATTAAACATTTTGACATCTCAGTCCAGAGCACCTGCTGCCATTTTTCTGCTCGCTGGTTCCTATGTTTTCATGCATAGTTGAGTTGCATAGCCTTGTTTCCATTTCCTATGCATGAAAAAATAGGAACTGGGGTGCAGAAACGTGTCAACAGGTGCTGTGGACTGATGAGTCAACATTTGAAATGTTTAGCTGTAGCAAAAGACAGTTTGTTTGAGAAGGGCGGGAGAGCGGTACGATAGTGAAGGTCTATAGGCAACCGTGGAGCATGGTGGAGGTTCCTTGCGCATGTGGGGCTACATTTCTGAAAATTGAGTTGGAAATTTGGTCAGGATCATTGGTATCCTCAGTGCTGAGAGATATATGCAAATATTGACCCCAAATTTATTCCGCAGCAGGGCAATGACCTCAAACATACAATGTTAAGAACTATTTTCAGTGTAACGTAGAACAAGGAGTCCTGGAAGTGATGGTTCGGCGCCACAGAGCCCTGATCTTAACATAGTCAGTCTGTCTGGGATTGCATGAAGAGACAGAAGGATTTGAGGCAGCCTATATCCACAGATCCATGATTAGCTCTCCAAGATGTCTGGAACAAGCTACCTGCTGAATTCCTACAAAACTGTACGTGTCCCTAGAAGAATTGGTGCTGCTTTGAAGACAAAAGGCGATCGCACCGAATAATGATTTTAATTGGATTTCTCTTCTGTGCCTTTTTTATGTTCCATTTTGTTTATCGATAAAAATAAACACTTCATTTTCTGAAAGCTCTCTTTTTACATTTTTTTTCACACCTGCCTAAGATGTTTGCACAGTACAGTATATATTTTGTATAGTCCATTGAACATAAAAATATTGCATATTAATATTATGAGATCTTTCTAGCCAGTAGGTTGAACTCTTCTGTTTTAATCAATAACATTATTTTTCAACTGTGCTGAAAAGCCATTTTAAAGAACTAGCATGTGTCATCAGAACAGTGACTCCTTACTGATTGGACCATAGTGCTTTGGGAACCTAATGTTTTGTATTTAAATGTATATTTTTAAAACAAAAGTTGCATATAGATAGTTTTAAATTAGAAGTCTATCTTTTTTTTTTTTATTTTTATAAACATTAAATTAAACCACCAAATAATGGTTTGATTTTCTGTTTTTTTTTTTTTTTTTTTTTTTTTTTTTTTTTGCCTAAAGCCTTTGCACATTACTGTATATATCAGTTCATAGAGTTTATGTAGTTATTTGTCATTTTGAAAATTTGTAAAGCTGTGCAAATCAATTAAGGGCGAACTTTGTGAGATTCAGCTTTTTTTGTCCATTCACAAGCTTCCATTTGCCTGAAACCTGTACATTTAGTTTGGTCTGGTCTAGAGCATATAATGAATGGTATTCTAAAGGCACCTAATAAATATATAAAAAATAAGTGTTATAATCACACTGCATCAGCAGTGGAGATTCTTGGCTGCCCCTAAAAAGTGAATAAACACTTAAACTGTCAAAATAAATAGGTAGGCGCTGTGCTTAAAAAAAAAAAAAAAAAAAAAAAAAAAACATAACGGTGTACAAATATTTAAATCATTTATTGCTGCCCTATGAGTGTCTATAGCATTAAAGATTTTTGAAGTTATACATGTGATACGGGCTGACAATAAGTGAATTGTTCACTCACCAGACCTATTTGACCCTGGTTAAGGCGGTCCAACGCGCTGTTTGGTATAGTATATGAGAAGATCAGCCTCTGGTTACCCTATGATGTTCTTCTTGGTCATTAGCACACTGCAGGGCATGTCATCCATGGAGGTAATGGTATGGTTTCCAAAAAGCCAAACGGATAGAATTCTATAACCGACACTCCTTACTTTTTAGGAAAATGTTGCCAAGCCACTCAAACCAGAGATTAAATCATTCTAAGTGTAGCATTTATCAGTAATAGTGGGTTAAAATATAACAATATGCACTCACTTGTAAAGATGCTTTGTTGGCCGGCACCAGCATGTACAGCCTATTAATCCAAAAAGATGGCCGACGTGCATTGCAAGCTTCGCTCTCCCTAGGATGGAAGTGACGGAATCACGCTTCGACATACGTTTTGCCAGACGGTGTCATCAAGAAGTGACGACCTCCATATCCGGGCTAATTATATACATACTAGCTTACGCTGATTGGTTGACTGAACAACCAAATAGTCCATCTCATTGGTAGGCTCCGGAATCATGGCCGATACTGAAATGTCTTATATTAGTAACTGTCTGTACATACTAATAAAACATATATTCATTGACTTAAACCCAAAACCCACAATTATAGTGAAAAAATCAAGACCCAAAAAGATTACCCAAAAAAAAAAATATCAAATATATATAAAAGAACAAAAATAAAATAAAGTCCCAATATGCAAAGTGTCCAAAAAGTGTCCAAACAAAGATCAATTTCTTGATAGGAAGACGCTTCGTACTCCACTGAAGAAGATGCAAATCAATCACAGGTGCTCTTCAAATACCTCCAAAAACAAAATCTCAACATAGTATATTACCTTTTAAATCCCAGAACTAAAGTGCCACACGTGTATCATGCAAAAAAAAAAAAAACACTCCCAGTGTCACAGCACTCATGTGAGAAAGAAAAAAAAAAAAAATGTTTTAAATATCACCTCTAACTATATATAAAGTGCATAATTACCCTAAAACAAACAAATTCCAGCTTGTAATCAACCACATATGTACAGAGTGTCCTTAGATTGGTATTTTCTTGTTCCTCAGGACCTCACAAACAGACCAGGAATCAGTATGTGAATTATAATCGTATATAAAATTTATTGTAGCCACTTACATATAAAAACGATAAGATCAGCAAGACAGCATCAAACTCCTCATGCCCAGTATACGATCCCCTTTCCGTGTGTAGAGGGTCTCCCGATCACCAGGTAATTCCCCCTTGCTACTCCTATCCAGCACTATCACTTTGTAGCTCTGGGGGACACCTGAAGTACACCGTTACTCTCCAGACCTCCAACACACAGGGATTCCAGAATCCAAAATGGTTGCCGCAGCACTTCCTGGAACGTCACGTGCCCTGGACGCGTTTTGTCTCTTTTGGACTTTGTCAACTTCAGGGGAAGGTTATTGATATGACTTTTTAAGGGATTTCTGAGGATTTTATATATATATATATATATATATATATGTATATATATATATATATATATATATGTGTGTGCTGATTTATACTTATTCTGTCTGTACATACTGTCGCGGTGCAACAACCCTTCCTTCGAACTTCATAATTTCCTACAGTAGTATATATTATACAAAGTTAAATGTTACAAATAAAATTATAATAAAACAATTCATACAGTTAAGAATATTAAGAATATTACATAGGGAATTGGTATAAAATATACTGAAAATAAAATAAAATTCCTCAATGGATTCTAATTTATTTTTAGTATGATTTCGGAGCCTTCCAATGAGATTGACTACTTGGTTGTTCAGTCAACCAATCAGCGCAAGCTAGTATGTATATAACTAGCCCGGATATGGCGGTCGTCACTTTCTGATGACTCTGTCTGGCAAAACGTACATCAAAGCGTGAATCCGTCACTTCTGGGTTTCGGTGACGTTATATCCGGTCTAGCAAGAGCGAGGCTTGACACGCACGTCGGTCATCTTTTTAGATTAATCTGTACATGCTGGTGCCTGCCAACAAGGCACCTTTAAATGTGAGTGCATATTCTTATGTTTTAACCCACTATTACTAATGCTACTTAAATGGCTTAATCTCTGGTTTATTTAGTGGCTTGGCAACAATTTCCTAAAAAGTAAGGAGTCTGTTATAGAGTTCCATTTGTTTGGCTTGTTGGAACCATACCATTACCTCCATGGATGACATGCCCTGTGGTGTGCTGATGACAAAGAGGAACATCATAGGATAACCAGAGGCTGATCTT